ATGCCCTTAAAGTGGGCAAGTCTACTATTTTTGCAGGCAGGGCATTCCACGCCCTTACTACTCTCCGAGTAAAGAACCTACCTCTGACATCTGCCCTATATCTATCACCCCTCAATTTAAAGCTATGTCCCCTCGTGTGAGCCATCACCATCTGAGGAAAAAGGCTCCCACTGTCCACCCTATCTAATCCTCTGATCATCTTGTATGTCTCTATCAAGTCACCTCTTAACCTTCTTCTCTCTAACGAAAACAGCCTCAAAACCCTCAGCCTTTCCTCATAAGACCTTCCCTCCATACCAGGCAACATCCTGGTAAATCTCCTCTGCACCCTTTCCAATGCTTCCACATCCTTCCTATAATGCAGTGACCAGAACTGTACGCAATACTCCAAGTGCGGCCGCACCAGAGTTTTGTACAGCTGCAACATGACCTCATGGCTCCGAAACTCAATCCCTCTACCAATAAAACCTAACATACTGTACGCCTTCTTAACAACGCTATCAACCTGGGTGGCAACTTTCAGTGATCTATGCACATGGACACCGAGATCTTTCTGCTCATCCACACTACCAAGAATCTTACCATTAGCCCAGTACTCTGTATTCCTTTTACTCCTTCCAAAGTGAATCACCTCACACTTTTCCACATTAAACTCCATTTGCCACCTCTCAGCCCAGCTCTGCAGCTTATCTATGTCCCTCTGTAACCTACAACATCCTTCTGCACTATCCGCAACTCCACCGACTTTGGTGTCATCCGCAAATTTACTAACCCATCCTTCTACGCCCTCATCCAGGTCATTTATAAAAATGACAAACAGCAGTGGCCCCAAAACAGATCCTTGAGGTACACCACTAGTAACTGAACTCCAGGATGAACATTTCCCATCAACCACCACCCTCTGTCTTCTTACAGCTAGCCAATTTCTGATCCATAAATCATTGTTTCCAGCAAAACACAGTTATGTTGCTAAATCATAGGTAAACATTAATGTGTGCCAATCATGAAGTGTGTCAGCTGATCTCAACGCTCTATTTAACATGTGAATTATGAAAAGTTTACCAATGACATTTAAATTTGAAAAACACCAATGCTTGTATTCACTAAAGCTTGAAAGAATGAGAAGGGATTCAGATTTAAACGTGCAAAATTCTAACAGAGCTGGACATATTTTGTAGCTCGTCCATAGATGCTGGACAGTCTATTGATAATGTGCTCACCAGTTAAAAAAATACTCTGCTCGATGAATCCTGCACACACTTAGAATCATAGAGATGTACAACACAGAAACAGATCCTTCAGTCCAACTTTGCATGCTGACCAAATGTCCTAAATTAAGCTCGTCCCATTTGCGTCCCACATCCTTCCTACAGCGGGGAGACCAGAACTGAATGCAGTGTTCCAAAAGTAGCCTATCCAATGTCCTGTAAAAGCTGCAACATGACCTCCCTACTCTTATACTCAATGCACTGACCAATAAAGGCAAGGTCAGAAATCACATGACACCAGGTTAGAGTCAAACAAGAAGAAAGAATAAGGCTCTGAAAGGTTGTGTCTTCAAATAACCCAGTTGGACTATAACCTGGTGCTGTGTGATTTCAGACCTTGTCAACCCCAGTTCAACACCAGCACGTCCACATCATGGCTACAATAAAGGCAAGTCAACCAAACGCCTTCTTCACTACCCTGCAACTCCACATTCAAGGGTCTCTTTGTTCGGCAACATTCCCCAGGTCCTTACCATAAAGTGTATAAGTCCTGACGGTTTGCCTTACCAAGATGCAGTTTTCTAAACTTATCTAAACCACATTTATCTTAATTAAACTTCATCTGCCACTCTTCGGCCCATTGGCCCATCTGATCAAGGTCCCATAGTTCTCTGAGATAACCTCTTTTGCTGTCTACTACATCTCCAATTTTGGTGTCATCTGCAAACTTACTAACCATTCCTCCTATGTTCACATCCAAACCATTTATATAAATGACAAAAAGCAGTGGATCCAGCACCGATTCATGTGACTTTGTGCTCGTCACAAGCATCCAGTCCAAAAAACGATCCTCCACCATTACCCTCTGTCTCCTTCAAGCTAATTTTGTATCTAAATGGCTAGCTCTTCTTGGATTCCATGTGATCAAACCTTGCTAACCAGTCTACCATGCGGAACCTTGTCAAACACCTTACTGAAGTCCAAATAGACAACATCCACTCCTCTATCTTCATTAATTTTCTTTGTCACTTCTTCAAAAAATTCAATCAAGTTAGGGATATTTCCCATGCACAAAGCCATGTTGACCATCCATAATCAATCCTTGCCTTTCCAAATACATGTAAATCCTATATGTCAGAATCCTCCCCAACAATTTACCTACAAATAATATCAGGCTCACCAGTCTATAGTTCCCTGGCTTTTTCAATACCACCTTTCTTAAATAATGGTGACACGTTAGCCACCACCAGTCTTCCGGCACCTCACTCATGACTATTGATAATATAAATATGTCAGCGAGGGACCCAGTAATTATTTCCCTAGCTTCCCACAAAGTTTGGGGGTACACCTGATCAGGTCCTGGGGATTTATCCACCTTTAGCCGTTTTAGGACCTCCAGGACCTCCTCCTCTGTAATATGGACACTTTTCATGATAACACTATTTATTTCTCATAGAATCCCTACAGCATAGAAGCATCAGCCCATCCAGTCCACACCGACCCTCCGAAGAGCGACCCACCCAGACCGTATTCCAATAACCCTGCATTTCCCATGGCTAACCTACCTAGCCTGCACATCCCTGGACACTAAGGGCAGTTTAGCAAGGCCAGTCCATCTAACCTGCACATTTTGCACTGTGAGAGGAAACCAGAACACCCAGGGGAAACCCATGGAGACACGGGGAAAATGTGCAAACTCCACACAGTCACCCAGGGGTGGAATCAAACTTGGGTCCCTGGTGTTGTGAAACAGCTGTGCTAACCACGGAATCACTGTGTCGCCAATGTTTTCCAGCTGCCATATCCTTCTCCCCGTGTCTGCGTGGGTTTCCTCCAGGTGCTCCGGTTTCCTCCCACAGTCCAAAGATGTGCAGGCTCGGCGAATTGGCCATGCTAAATTGCCCATAGTGTTCAGGGGTGTGTGGGTTATAGGGGGATGGGTCTGGATGGGATGCTCCAAGGGTTGGTGTGGCTTTGTTGGGCCGAAGGGCCTGTTTCCACACTGTAGGGATTTAGTGATTCTATGATTCTCCATAGTAAATACTGAGGCAAAATATTTGTTTAGTATCTCACCCAAATCTCCCACAGTTCCATCCTATGAGGGTGGGAGAGGGCAGAAACACTCATAACTTGTAAGAAGAATTTAGGTGTGCATTGGCGATGCTAATTCCCACACCACAATAGGTTATAGTCCAACAATTTGTTTATCAATATAACAGGTCCCTAGCCCTGCACTCATCCCTGGAACATCTGGACAACAAAGACACCTATGTCAGACTCCTGCTCATTGACTACAGCTCCAACTGCAACACCATTATCCCCTCCAGACAGATGTCAAAACTGCGTGACCTTGGTCTCAGCTCCTCCCTCTGCAAATGGATCCTCAGCTTTCCGATCCTTACGCCGCAATCAGTGAGAATAGGTAACTGCACCTCCTCCACAATAACACCCAACACTGGAGACCCCCCAAGGATGTAGCCTCAGCCCCCTACTGTACTCCCTGTACACCTACAACTGCGTTGCCAAATTCTGAACGAATGCCATCTACAAGTTCACTGATGACATCACCATAGTGGGACAGATATCTAACAATGACAAGTCAAAAATACAGAAGGGAGATAGAGGGCTTGGCAATGTGGTACAATGAAAACAACCTCTCTCTCACTGTCGACTAAACTAATGAACCGATCATTGACTTCAGAAAGAAAGGAGGAGAACACGTCCCCATCTACATCAACGAAACGGAGGTTGAGAGGGTGGACAGCGTCAACTTCCTCTGAGTGACGGTAACGATTTTGGACTTCCCATCCATGTGGGAAGGCACAACAACACCTCTTCTTCCTCAGGCGGTTTAGGAAATTTGGCATGTCCATAGGAACCCTCACCAACTTCTACAGATGCACCATTGAAAGCGTACTGTCCTCCTGCATAACAGCCTGGTGTGGCAACTGCTCTGCCCAGGACCGTTAGAAACTACAGAAGGTGGTGTGCACAGCCCAGACCATCACGGAAGCCAACCTTCCATCCATGGACTCTATTTACGCGGCTCGCTGCTGTGGAAAGGCTGCCAACATCATCAAAGACCCATCGCACCCCGGTAATGATCTCCTACAACCTCTTCCATCAGGCAGAAGATACAGAAGGCTGAACACACGCACTAGCAGGTTCATGAACAGCTTCTTCCTAGTTGTTATCAGACTGTTGAATGGACTGTCTAGCCTCAAATAACGCTGACCTTGCTAATGTTGATATTGCCTAGCGCACCCCCGTCCAATGTAACCTGTATGTCTCTGTCTAAGTCTTATTGATCTGTACATCTTTTGCTTACTCTGATCTGCCTATACCGCTGGTAAACAAAGCTTTTCACTGTATTACGGTACACATGACAATAAATCAATCGATCGATCAATAACAGGTTTATTTAAAATCACAAGCTTTCAGAGCACTGCTCCTTCATCAAGTGAAGTCCCCGTGCAAACATGTGATTTCAAATAAACCTGTCGGATTTCTGGCTTTGTCCGCCCCAGCCCAGCGCCAGCACCTCCACATCATAATTCCCACAACAGTCTGAGGCTATTGTGAAGGAGTCTCCTTCTCAACCTCTCCCCTCACCTGAGGTGTAGTGACTCTCAGGTTAAACCCTGGAACCAGTGCTCCCCAACACCACCACCCCACCCCCTTCTAACGGGGGAAGAGCCAAAACTGGCAATGTTTGGGCTGGCAACTGGCAGAGCGAGGGCGAGCCTGAATGTGGCCGAGAGCCCGGGTGGTGAGCTCCCCTCCCCACCTCACCTGAAACTCGTGGGTTTTGTCGTTGTATCCTTTGATGAAATACCAGTAGAAGTTGGACAGCAGGCCGTTCCCGGGGAGATCCTCCACGGTTTTCAAAGCCCCTCGCTCCCCGACCGACGCTCTCACGGTGGATTTGCACCTGAAAGCCCGAATTGCGGGCAGGGGCACTGGCTTGGCGGTGAGGAGCGAGCGTAGCGGCATGGACATACTGCAACAGCTTTCTGTCTCTCTGTCTGTGTGTGTCTGTGTCTCTGTTGCTGCTGTTCGACCTTTGCCCGGAGTTCACACAACGCTGGAGGGGAAATCATTTCCGAGCTGGACATCCTACCAGGCTACAAACTTTTAGGAAGGTCTTTAAATGCAATGTGCCCGTCTGACCTGATTGAGAATGGGCTGTCCAACACGGATCGTATTTCTGATCTATTTACCTCACCAGCGAACATCGCATTCCGTTGCAAAGCACTGATTCTCGTCTGTGCTGTTGGCTCACATTCTGCCAGTAGCACAAGTTTACCCGTTTTATATTCCCTAATGGAACTAACCAGCTGAAGGGTGAGGGTTTATTTATGCGCACAAACACGAGTGAGAGAGTTCCAGAGATAACAAGGTGTGGAGCTGGATGAACACAGCAGGCCAAGCAACATCAGAGGAGCAGGAAAGCTGACATTTCGGGCCTAGACCCTTCTTCAGAAAATGGACCCTTCTCGGCCCGAAACGACAGCTTTCCTGCTCCTCTGATGCTGCTTGGCCTGCTGTGTTCATCCAGCTCTACACCTTGTTGTCTCAGATTCTCCAGCATCTGCAGTTCCTACTATCTCTGAGGAAAGTTCCAGACAGGTTGACCCGGATAAAGACAAGTCCACACAGAAAGCACACACTTCGGGAAAAATAATATCAGTTGCTCGAAAAGCTCAGCAGATCTGGCAGCATCTGTGAAGAAAAAAATCACAGTTAACGTGATTTTTACAGCATCCGCAGTTTCTTTTTAGAACTGTCTTCAGGTTTAGGCTCCTTTGTAACTCTATTGTAACAGTGCCTTCAGAGATTAGTCGTAGCTCATATCAACTCTAGCCTCCCAGTCTGCCTCCATCCCTAACAATACACCTACTGGCTCAACAGGTCCAGACACACACATCATCTCCCTAGCGCTACACTCATTCCTGCAACAGTTGGATAACGGGTGGCCCAGTGGCTCAGTGGCTCAGTGGTTAGAACTTCTACCTCACAGTGCCAGGGGCTTTGGTTCAATTCCAGCCCCAGGTGACTACCTGTGTGGAGTTTGCACATCCTCCCCATGTCTGCATGAGTCTCCTCTGGCTTCCTCACATAGAACAGCACAGGCCCTTTGGCCCATGATGTTGTGCTGAAATTTTACCCTAAACCTAAGGTCTATCTAACCTCCACTCCTACCTTATACTATCATCCATATGCCTATCTAATAGCCGCTTAAACGCCTCTAATGAGGCCGACTCCACTACCCTCTCCGACAATGCAATCCACGCCCCAACCACTCTCTGAGTAAAGAACCTAGCTCTGATGTCTCCCCTATATCTACCTCCACTCAATTTAAAACTATGCCCCCTCGTAATAGCTACCTCCACCCTAGGAAAAAGTCTCTGGCTGTCCACTCAATCTATACCTCTGATCATTTTGTACACCTCTATCAAGGCACCTCTCATCCTTCGTCGTTCTAAAGAGAAAAGCCCTAGCTCTCTCAACTGTTCCTCGTAAGACCTTCCCTCCATTCCAGGCAACATCCTGGTAAATCTCCTCTGCACCTTTTCCAACGCTTCCACATCTTTCCTGTAATGAGGCGACCAGAACTGGACACGATACTCCAGATGTGGCCGAACCAGGCTTTTGTATAGCTGGAGCATAACTTCACGGCTCTTGAACTCAATCCCTTTCTAAGGTTTTGGAATAGATTTGTAGCTCGGGTTGTGGGTGTTGAGGTTGTTGAAGTTGGTTGTCTCGCCGAGCTGGTTTCTTGTTTCGCAGACGTTTCATTGCCATGCTGGGTAACATCCTCAGTGCAGCCTCCGATGAAGCGTCGGTGTGTTTTCCCGCCTGGTTTTTAAACTCTGGGGTCCATTGAGATGGATTGCCTTACTTCCGGGTTTCCTTCGTAGTGGAGTTATATGGGGTCAAGTTCAATGTGTTTATTAATAGCATGCTTCGTGGAGTGCCAGGCTTCTAGGAATTCTCGTGCCTGTCTCTGCCTAGCTTGTCCCAGGATCTTGGTGTTGTCCCAGTCGAAGTCGTGGTTCTCCTTGTACATTTGGATTGAGATGAGTGAGTATTGGTCGTGTCTTTTTGTAGCCAGTTGGTATTCATGTACTCTTGTTGTTAGTTTCCTTCCTGTTTGTCTGATGTAGTGTTTCTCACAGTCTCTGCAGGGGATCTTGTAGATGACATTGGTCCTGTCTATGGCGGGGAGTGGGTCCTTGGTTCGGGTGAGCAGTTGTTGTAAGGTTCGTGTGGGCTTGTGTGCTACTCTGATGCCCAGCGATCGTAGGAGTCTTGTGGTGAGTTCCGATGTGTTTCTGATATAGGGTAGTGTGATGAGTGTGTCGGGGCATGTAACCTCTTTCTGATGCTGTTCGTGTAGGCATCTTCTGACCCAATTCTTTGGATATCCATTATCCTTGAAAACCTGAAAGAGGTATTCTTCTTCTTCCTGGTGTAGTTCCATGTTGCTGCAGTGTGTCGTTGCCCTTTTAAATAGTGTTCGCATGCAGCTTCGTTTGTGTGTGCTGGGATGGTTACTGTTGACGTTCAGTACCTGGTCTGTGTGTGCGGCTTTTCGGTGTACTTTCGTTTGCAGTTCCCCATTTGTCTTGCGCTCTACCATGATGTCCAGGAATGGCAGCTGTTTGTTCTTCTCCTCCTCTCTGGTGAATTTTATTCCGGTGAGGATGTTGTTTATAAGTTTGTGTGTCTCTAATTTGGTCCATTTAATGAACAAAGGTGTCGTCTATGTAGCATATCCACAGTTTTGGTTGGATTTGCCGAAGGGCAGTCCTTTCTAGTCTTTGCATCACTGCTTCTGCTATGAGTCCGGAGATAGGTGATCCCATGGGGTGTCCCGTTGATTTGCTCGTATGTTTGGCCATTGAAAGTGAAGTGGGTGGTCAGGCATAGGTCCAATAGTTTGAGCATGTTGTCTTTGGAGATGGTTTCACTGCGGTCGTGCTCTTGTTCAAGTAGTGTTGTCATTGTTTCCCTTGCTAGTCTTATGTCTATTGATGTGAATAGGGCAGTGACATCAAACGATACCATGTTCTCTTCGTCCTCTATCTTTATGTCTTTGATGGAGTTGAGGAATTCTTGGGCTGAGTGAATGGAGTGGGGTGACTTGTTGACTAGGTGCCTGAGCCTTCTTTGTAGTTCCTTGGCTAATCTGTGCGATGGAGTGCCTGGTAGGGAGACTATGGGTCTGAGGGGGACTTCCAGCTTGTGTACTTTAGGGAGGCCGTAGAATTGGGGTGTGTTGGTTCCTTCGGGTTTCATTCTTAAGAAGTCTGCTTTGTTGATCTGTCCGGTCTGTTTGAGGCTGAATAGCGTGTACAGGATTTTGTTGCCTAGTTGTGCTGTCGGGTCAGTTTGTATTGGCCGGTATGTGTTCTCGTCGGCAAGCAGTTCTTGTGCTTTGCAGATGTAGTCCCTTTTATTCATTATCACTGTCATGCAGCCTTTGTCTGCAGGTAGTATTGTGATGTTTTTGGCCTTCTTTAATCGATCCAGGGCTTGTCTTTCCCGTGTGTTGAGGGTGTTGAGTTCACTCCTTCTGGTTAGTGTCAGGACTACTGTCTGTCTTATAGTTTGTTGTGTTTCTTCGTTGATATTGTTGGTCTTGAGTGTGGCTTCCAGTGTAGCTAGGAATTCCGTTTTGTTGGCATCCCTGTAGTTGTAGTTCAGTCCTCGGGTGAGAGCGGCTTTTTCCGTGTCAGTCAGTTTCCTGTCGGAGAGGTTTCTTATCCATGTGTCTGTTCTGTTGTTGTCGTTTTTGTGTTTCCCTCTATTAATGAAAGCTAACACACCATACACTTTCTTAACAACTCTATCCACCTGGGTGGCAGCTTTCAGGGAACTGTGGACATGAACCCCAAGATCCCTCAGCACCTCCACACTGCCAAGAATCTTTCCGTTAATCCTGTATTCTGCTTTCAAATTTTTCCTTCCAAAATGAATCACCTCGCACTTTTCAGGGTTAAACTCCATTTGCCACTTCTCAGCCCAGCTCTGCATCCTATCAATGTCCCTTTGTAACCTAGAATAGCCGTCTGCACTATCCACAACTCGACCCACCTTTGTATCGTCCACGAACTTACTAATCCACCCTTTGACTCCTTCATCCAAATCATTTTCAAAAATCACAAATAGAAGAGGATCCAGAACAAATCCTTGTGGTAGACCACTCCTAACTGAGCACCATGTTAAATATTTTCCATCCACTACCATCCTTTGTCTTCTAAGGGTCAGCCAATTCTGAATCCAATCTGCCACATTTCCCCCAATCCCATGCCTCCTTACCTTCTGCGTGAGCCTATCATGGGGAACCTTATCAAACGCCTTACTTAAATCCATGTATATCACATCCACTGTTCTACTTTCATCCACATGTTTGGTCACCTCTTCAAAGATGTGTAGGTTAGGTGGATTGGCCGTGGGAAATTGCCCTTGGTGTCCAGGGATATGTAGGTTAAGTGGATTAGCCACAGGATTACAGGTAGGGGAAGCCTGGGTGGGCTGCTCTTTGGTGGGTCAGTGTCGACTTGATGGGCTGAATGGCCTGCTTCCACACTGTAGGAATTCAATGATTCTAAGGATACCTGTGCCAGGCTTCTACATATTGACTACAACACTGCCTTCAACACTACAATCCCAAACAAACTGATCTCCAAACTCTGAGCCCTAGGTCTTGCCTCTGCTCTGGATCCTTGACTTACTGACCCGCCTAACCACAGTCAATGAAGATAGGCAACAGCACCGGCTCCACGGCAACCTGCAACACTCGTGCCCCACAAGGCTATGTACTCAGCCCCTTACTGTATGCTCATGACTGTGTGGCCAAATTTTGTCCAAACTCCATTACAAGTTCGCTGATGATACCACTGTTGTAGGCCGATATCATAAAATGATGAGACAGAATACAGCATTGAGATAGAGTGCTTGGTGGTGTGGTGTAAAGATAGCAATTTCCCCCTCAATGTCAGCAAAATAAAAGAGCTGATTAACAGATAGCAAGAACTGCCGATGCTGGAGTCAGAGTCAACGTAGTGTGGAGCTGGAGGAACACAGCAGGTCAGACAGCTTCAGAGGAGCAGGAAGGTCAATGTTTCAGGTCATCAGAGTTCTGATGAAGTGTCCCAACCTGAAATGTTGACTTTCCTGTTCCTCTGATGCTATCTGACCTGCTGTGTTCCAAAACAGCTGACTGTCGACTACGGGAAGCAAGGAGGAGTACAGGCCCCTGTCTACATCAATGGAGCTGAGGTGGAGAGGTTGAGAGTGCCAAGTTCCTAGGAGTGACGATCACCAACAATCTGTCCTGGTCCACCCACATTGTGATGGTCAAGAAAGGCAAAACAACGCCTCTTCTTCCTCAGGAGGTGAAGGAAGTTCAGCATGTCCATAAACTCGCTCACCAA